GGAGGGGAATGCTGTCTTCACCTTCTTAGGTTACATCTGCTCTTGCATAATTACTAACTCCTGCAGTCCTATGATGGAGATTCTGTGGTCTCTAACAAAGCCTTGGGTCGCATTTAGAGATGAAAGTTAATTAAAAGGTATTTGAAACTACCACGACAATATTCAACTCCTAATGAGTTGAATTATTTAATCAGATGACAAGTGGACATTCTAGGATTACGTTTTGAGGTCTGTGACGTGGATAAACAGGCCAACTCCCTTCAAAGTAGTCCGCTTTTTAGTGTTAGATTGAATCAAATTTGTTCGTCTCCACCCTAAGCAATTGGAAGTACTAATTGTCTGGTTAATCCTCTGTGCTATCAACTGAAAGAATAGAAGCTACAAAATTTTTTTTGTGGTGAATGGGCTCCTAATCCTTGCTTGCAATAGCAGAAAATTCTTTGCTTACCTCTTGAAATTGGCAGTACCTTACAGTGTAACTTCGGAGTGACTTATGAAATATGCCATTAGTTTAAGATACCATGGCAACGGAAATTCGCATTCAAATGTGGATCAGCATGAACTGCTTAAATGGGGTTGCCTGAGGTGCGATTCGTTCTTCAGTAATAAAACCTAAATGTTCACAACTGCTCAGACTGACTTGAACTTGTTGGAATTCAGATGGCTTAGTGGAGGTAAATGGGTTCAAATCAAAACCGTAATAGAAGGTCGTTACCACTAACCGACACTGTATATTCACCCAGAAATCCCTGTACAGTGCGTATTAATACACAATTGGTATGCTAATCGCAATGCAATTGCTCCGCACCTAGTTTAATGAAAAGTCTCTGACGAAATCTATTGTTTAGCCTCAACTATTGCTGCACTCACACACTCATCGTAACATTTTGCCTAGGTCAGACTAGGCAAAAATATTTTCAAAAATATTTTGCCATTCTGGCATCATCATGTCCTACGTAGGATTTTTGATATAATTTCCAAATTAACATCTAAGTGCTGCCTCTAAGCCGTGATTGAGGCAAGGGTAGAAATCTTCTTGAGCAGTGGGATATATGAGGTAATTTTTCCCTGTCACGTTGATCCAACACACGATGTAAGTAGAATACAGAGGATGATCAAAATGGTGCCGCATTTAAATTCCATCTTGACTTTTTACCGCTCTGTGTGATACATATTTACCTGATTACGCCATTTCAGCGAGATGCATTCAGACACTACAATTCCTGAGACGGAGTGGACGCCATCTATTTTAAGGAAGAAATGTGCTCTAAATATGAACAGCGTTGATTACTAAAACTCGCCCATAGTACTACTAATCAGGAGTACTCCACATTAATCGGTCTACACGTTCCTGGGAAATAAGACCAAGCCTGAAGTGATAAACGTCAAATTTATTACATCTCACTCACTGATTCACCGTATGAAGTGCACCTCACAGGCATGAATACACTTCCAACCGACAGTGTAGCTGTATGTAACAAAAGCATTTGTGTTATTTGCAAAACACAAACACACAATTAGGCCACATTTGTGTGGTTGGGTAAGGCACCCCACCGAATGCATTAATGAGGTGCAACGATTTCAATGGAACTTGGTCTATCGGCAGGTTCATTCACTGAGCAGTATACAAACCTGCATTTGACATGTAGACGACCACATTTCCAACCGCCCTTCGCACGGTAAGCTCGTATTATCAAAATCATTAGGGAGGGTTCCCCTCAAAATTTAACTCGAGTTACCAAGTGCAAACTCAGACCAATCCGGAAGTGCACAGTCAAAAGAATTTTGTATCTCCACTTTGAGAGGACAAAAGGGTGCGGAGAAATGCTGTTTCACGTAAAGGCAGCAACTCGGAGAAATGGACACTTTACATTTGCCTTCTCAAAAGCAGTCCCACACTTCGGATAGGTGAAATGACTTCTCAATCATAGCAGCCCAAAGTAGCTCACCTCCTTTTCTTGATTACAAAATCATCACTGCCTGATCTTGTATACATCTCCAAATTACCAGTCCTCAGGCCACATTCCACTTCACACTACATTTTGTCATTGCGTGTCCAAATTCACTTATTCTATCAGAATCACTGGAAAGGAAATTGCCTTAGATCCCTGCCTTTAACAAGTTCAGCGACACCACATTTGACTGATTTGGAAAAGTTGATTAGGCAAATGTCTAGGACACTTGTCTAAGGACGATGATCAACTTAACATGCGGTACTTCCTCCACGTCTCGACCAGTTGATTAAATTTCACTTGCAAACATTTTGCTGGGCATCCACATTTGTATGGTTGCATACTAACGACGATAAATGAATCGGTTTAGATATTAATAAGCAAACAGACGCATTTTTAAAGCATTCATTAAAAGCAGGTTGCTGTTTTTCGCCATTTTTGCTACCGATTTCGAGTGGGGTAAATGTCGTCAAGCGAAATTAAATGCAGTAAATTAGGCACTTAAAGATGCTCTTTTAGCCTAAAAATAATTTGCTTTTCTTCCTTAACTAAGCGTGTTTTCAACTAGTGTTTAGTTATTACTATTATTAAAGCAATGTGTACAGTCAACACAGCTTTTTACCATATTATAATAATTGTAGGACAAATTACTTGTTGATTTTCCTTTTTCTTTCATGGTAGAGCATAAGATAATACGTACGAAATCTGCTACACATCCTCTCCACATTTCATCTACGGGATTGTTATGTTTGGCAAATGGTGACTTAGAGTGAAACTAATCATCATTGCTAGTCGCTCGTTCTAATCTCGGTGCAAAATCCTTATTCTATCCACGATCACTGCCATAATGGACATTATTTTGCCCTCTATTACACAAAAACGGGCACTTTCTATCACAAAGCTGAATGGAGATCATAGTCTCGGTGGCTACCTCGTTAATTGCGTAGCTATGAATGTTAAATATGACGCCGGTGCAAGCATTAGAATGATTGGCTGCTTTAGTGTTTGTGAGGAAATGCAAAGACTCCTGTCAGAGTTTCATTAAACTACACAAGATTTGCTTGTCGCATGCAGTGTTGTTTCCAATGAATCAGTGGGTGGAAAATAGCAACACTAGTTAGTATTGTCGGAGCATTTGCTAGTTGAACTCCGAATAAAAGCAACTAAGTTAATGGAGTTAGAGCGAAAATATGGAAGAGCAAATCCTAAGGTGATAAGTACTTGAGAGGATGTAGTTCGATATGCCACGTTTTAAAAAGGAAGCTAGTTGTGTTTGGTAGTGACTGGGCTTTAATTATCTTCGTTCATTTTTGCTCAAATGAGTACATAATTCGGCTTCATTTCTGAAAGCAGGTCACGAAATATGGCAGTCCCTCCTCATCTACCCTACCTGCTGCCACGAACGTGTCAGTTCCAACAGAAAAATCCATATTACTACGTTGTCTTCATGCCACTTTTCACGATTTAACTACATTTAACCTTTATATGATTGATTGGAATATCGGCGTTAGGAGAAACAGAATTCTCCGCTTCAAATGTTCAAATGTTTCATTTTCCAATTCATGCATTAACACTCTTATAAGAAGTACGATTATTTATTCACCTAATTTATGCATTCCCAATCCGATAGATCAAGATCCATTCCAGTGTCGTGTGTGTGGAATGCGCTTTTCCTATCGTGCAAGCCTGATGCAACATGTGAAGCTTTCACATCAGGGCAAGTTGACATTGTGTTTATTTATGGTGTAACAAATATTTTGATGCATGCTCTTGCATATCTTATGCCTGTGTGGCATGTGGAGAGATCCCTACTACGTCGAGATGTCAAGTTGTATTTTGCAGTTTGTACACCATGTGTAAGAACAAATTGTGGTTAGATTGTCCAGCAAAGCATCCTCCGTCTTCACCTTGCATTTAGTACCATTCAGGCTGCACGATGCAAAGACCATGCCGACCTGTGTTAATGCATAATTTTTCACTTTTCAACTGTGTCGCTCAATGCGATGTTTGAAGTAGTATGGGCATTACTACCATCCATCACATAAGGGACCATCAGCTGCTGCCACAGCCACGACCAATTGATCTACCAAACAAACCCACTTCACTCTGCTTCCATGTCAGAGAAATTGCTTCGAAAAAATGCCACGTGTGCATTGCATGCAGCCAGAAACCGATGTTTTCACTTTGTAGTAGTTACTGTGGGTTGTAGATACAAAGCGGTGTGTCGACCTAACACCCGGTGAACTGCCGTAGATGTAGCATGTCGTAGCTAAAGCGATCCAGTTAGGCAGTGCATGCTACATGTTTGGAAAAGTGGGGTGTAAAGCAAAGGTGAATGCACCAACTCAGATGCAACAATGTTATAAACTAAGCCTTTTATTCAAACAAAGCAGGACATTCCAAATCATCCTTTTGAGACAAAGTGCAATTCCTGAACTGCAGGTGTATCGCTTCCACACTGCAATGCCAGTCTGCCTTCATTGGTGGCAAAAATAATTTGTTCTAACAAACCAGTAATTTCAAGGCAATTTGGCAGTTTTTTGGCCAGGCATTAGACTGTCTGATTTAACAGGTAGTGAAGATTGTATTCACTTCGAAGCCCATTTTATTGCACCAGCTTCAGCAGTTCACAAAAGCATGTCATAATTTCATGCCTAACGCCATTGCTTCCACTATTTTCGTAGATAAAAGTCGGTTTCAGTGCACGCTGTGTGGAAAAGCATTTTCTCAGTACTGCAAGCTAAGTCGGCACTTTTCCGAAGTTCATGCGAGTGAGTCAACCAATCACCAACAACATCGCCGTTTGTCTGTGTATCCTGATCAGGCAAACATTTAATTTGAGCATTTCTATGCAGAAAGTTGCTCTGAATTCAGCAGCACAAAAAGTTTACTTTAATTTTGTGAGCTTATTAGAAAAACCTGTACAAGGTGCTTTAGCGATTCGATGAGATTTATACTGTCACATTTTGACGACTTGCAGGATTCATTGAAATATCCCTCAGTAACTTTGTCAACTTTCCTTCTTCTTTTACCCTGATAAGCACATTTTTTCAACATCCTCTGAAATAGGTTGTTTGTTCATCTGTATTATTATTAATTGTTCAAGACAAGCAGCATACTGGACGACTACACTTTGTAGATGTTCGGCAGCAAAACAGCAAGCTAATATGATGTTTCACTACCAACAAATAATAGTCATTTTTGCATTTGTAGACATTGCTCCTTTGCAGCTTGATTAAATTTCCTAGACTGGAAGCCATTCACCTGTCAGTACTGCTGCAAAACCTTCTCACGGCGAAGCGGTCTAAGCAGACACATTGTTGGAGTTCACAAGGGTGAGCTAACTACCTCTTCCATACTAATCTTAGTCAATTTTTAACCATATGCCATCTAGTTTGATATGATGGTTACTTTTATCTTCCACCTTTGCAGAGAGGCTTGAATACACTTGCCAGTATTGTAATACGCATTTCTTGTGGCAAGGCGATTTACACAGGCACATTTCTGCATTGCATGAAGGTGAGTTAACTAACTTCAAATGGTCGTTGTCGATTTGTAAGCACACACTTATTACTATTTACTCCTGATTGCCTTTCACCTCGGATTTTGCGTAGGGAGGCAACAGTTTATCTGCCAGTATTGCAATATGGCATTTTCTCAGGGAGACCATTTGAACATGCACATTGCTGCTCTTCACTGGAGTCAGCCAAATTATTCCTGAAACGTGTGTTCATTTGCTTTAAATTTTTTGCTTGCTGTCAATCAAGATTTCGTTTCATCTGCTTGTAGCAAATCCTCAGGGAGGTCATGCAATGAAAGTGCTCAACACTTCATGTTTTAATTTACTTGGAAAAGAAATGCCTTGGTATTTACATACCTTGCGACTTGACAACTGACATGTCTACATTTTGGGTGTTAGCAGTTTCAAATCGTAGATGCATTTCTGTTTTCACAAGTTCCTGATAAGCGTTTGCTATACTCAAGTGGTCAGATGCACATTATGGAATAAATAGTTTTACTACTGAGAAGATGGCTGTATTTAAAAACACTCTGCTTCGAAGCGAATTAGGAATGATGAGCTACTGCAGCACGAAATCTGCAGATGCATTTCCTCGATTACATTGTGCTACGTGTTTTTAGTTATGAATACTTCCTAAGTCTGCTTAACATCCACAACTATTACTGCTTCTTTGGCAGTGATTGGTAGCTTTGCCATCGTTTTCTGCAGTTTTATGTTTCAGTGTGTGTTTTGCCATGGTGTTTGGCAAGAATAATATTGCACTGAGTTGCACAAACGAACACCATCGCCTACCTGGTTCCTCTTAGTGTTCACAACATAAATGAAATATTTTTCATAAATTTTTGGTTGATTGTAAATATTTGCCAATTTACCTAACCATCTCTATTTTCTTCCTGCAAAGGAAGCAAGCATGATAGTACTCACAATTCTTATCAGGAGAAGGAATTGTTAGTTAATTTACATATCAAGCAAACTACTCGCATCCATACATGCATTATCAGTAGCACCACTGCATGTATGCTTCTTCTTATTTGACGAAATTATTGTTCTTTTT